CTCATCATTACAATACTTCATTATCTTCATTCATTCCACCCGTTATTTCCAGAAGGTTCACATGGGGACCCAGTTCCAAAGCAGACTGTGAGGTAGCCTGGTAGGTGAGTTATGACAAATTCTGGAAAACACTCGGTTCCACGGCCCAATAAGGTAGACACTAGTTACATATAACGATTTACATTTAATTACAATTAAATAAAATCGAACGTCCGGTTCCTTAATCCCACTACCCACGTTTCAAGTGCTCAGTAGCCACGCGTGGCTACAGACTCCGGTACTCCTGTATTAGTGCAGAAGTAAACATTTCCAAGGTGCCCCAGGGACAGCCCTGCAGGGGGGCATGGTGGTAGAGCCCGTGGGCTCTGGATTCCTACAAGCCCTGGGTTCAAGTCCCGTCTTTGCTATTTCCCAGCTGTAAAATGTGGGCAAGTAGCCCAACCTCTCTTTGAGCCTCAGCTATAAAAGAGGGGGCATTGCAGACCCTCCCCAGAACTCCGATGAGTATTCGGAGATAGCAAAGGTGAGTGGCTTTGCTCGACGAAGATACAGTAAGCTCTTAAAAACCCCAGCGCTATTGAAACTATATGTACCTATGACGACAGCTTCCATTCCTAACAGTTTGAAAATCCTGAATTCTGAGGGTCCCACCCAGGTACCAGCCCACCCTAACTCCCTCCCCTGGGAAACTGCGGGTCCCCTCCGGGCCCGGCCTGAGTGCGTCCACGATCCCAGCTGGTTCCTCTGCACGCCCTGTCTTCAAGCACAGCGCTGCTCAATCAACCTTTGATGAATGAAGAAATGAATGAATGGGGCCAACGCAGGGTCTGACTAGGCCTTTTGTGAGAAGGAACGGGAGGGTCTGGGAAGTCATTATGATATGTTTCAAATACAACTGGCCTGGTCTTTTTTTTTTCCCCTGCAAGAAAAAAGTACCTCTTTTGGAGAATTACCTTAATCTCTCTCTCACCTACTGCCCAGTCCTCTGGGACAATTAGCCAACACCGGGAGCTCCAGGGTCTTGGCCCTTCCCCCTTTGCCCCAAAATAACCTCCTCCCCCACTTTGAGCAAATGCCTGGAATTCTTTCAACAGGACAAAGCCTTTCATCTGCCAATTACTGATAAAGGGAAAATGCAAATATCGCTGGGGAAGGTGATCCATCAAGGGCTCAGCATTTATTGAGTGACCACTTAGGACCAGGCTGCAGGGTAGGTTTTCTGGGGAAGTCAGAGGGGAACCCCCCCACCCCAGCTGGCCCAGGCTTCCCTCCAGTCTTCAGTTTCCTCACACTTTGTAAAGGGAGGGGATTACATTAGGTGACTACTCTACCCCTTCCCACTCTGACAGGCCAGGAACTCATCTGGGTGACATATGGACTTAAGTGTTTTACCTTAAGTTGCCTATCATTGGATCTTTTCCTGACACTAGATTTTGGGGACCACAAGGGGGGGGCGGGAGAGAAGGGTCTTTAGGAGGAAAGAGAGAATTAAGATCAAGCCTTCTACTTCAGTTTTCCTTTATCCCACTTAACTCACTTTCCCCGACCCTCCAGGCCATGCGTCCTCCTTTGAACATATTTCATCATGTGGCAGCAGTAAAGATGGTCAGTATCTGATGGTCGGTATGTGATGTCCGAGGCCCCGGTTTGAGCCCCAGCAACCCCACGAAGAAGCTGTGTGATCTTGGATGAGTGGCTTTGCCTTCCTGAGTCGAAAAAATAACAAGGCTATTTCCCTTAAAGCGTTCTTGTGAGCGAGAAGGAAATAGAAGGGTCCCTGGCCACTAAGTCAAGGTGAAACAATTTTTTGATGTTTGCCAGCTAGTGGAATTGGATTAAAACAAGCGTCTCAGTAGTCTTTGGCGGAGGTGGGGGGAGAATACAGAAAGATAGGACAGGAAACCTTAAGGTGAGCGAGGGGGAAGCTGTCTCTCAGGGTGACCAATAGGAGCTGATTGTTCACATCCGATCTCTGGTGGCGAAGCCACTTCCTCTCCACAGGTCTGTCTGATTGCTGTGTTGACACAGGGATGACAGGAGGGCAGGGCAATCATCCAGAATCATAACCTCTCCGAGCCTCAGTTTCCCCATCTACAAAATGACCAGCTCCAACCATCACACAAGGTTAATGGCAGAAAAGATATAATATTATCTTTTTATATTATAAAAATATATAAGTATTATATTACATTTTTTACAGCGCCTGCTATGAGCATCTATAATGTCCCTTTATTTATTTCCCAGCCCCATGTCATCTGATTGTGATCTTTACCCCCAAGATCAGGCCTAGTTGGCCTAGAGGAATGCTTAGGGCCAGCTTCTCTCAGGACCAAAGTCGACCTGACTGTTCATCTAGGATTCCAGTTTTGGGGGTGGTCTCAGCGAACCAGGTATGCGCACAGGGAAGCACACCCAGACCTAATGCTACTCCATATATGCATAGAGGGTGCCCATACCTCGGCCAAGAAGCCCTATAGGATTAATCAGCGGGTGCCCAGAGTTCCCCTGCGTCCCACCCCAGGGCGCCTTGCAGCTTTCCGCAGACTTTTCTCTTACAAATGGCCAATAAAGGCTTACCCTCTGCCTGTTTGCCAGCTGTGTTAGGAGGCGCCAGATCCAGTTCTCTCGGTATTTTCACTCCTGAGCCTCTATTTCCTCCTGTTGGCCAGCGCAGGGACCTTTAAAAACAATACCCACCAACTTCAGTTCCAGGGCTCATCGCCTAGCAAAGCAACGGGCTCCACAGACGCAGGCGGAATGAATGAATGAAAGGCAACATCTTCCGGTCAGCTCGGCGCTGAGCAGGCTCTGGTCCGGCTGTATTTCCTGTGCGTGTGTGTGTGTCTGTGTGTGTCTGTGCGCGCGCCCGCGCGCGCGTGTCTGTCCCTGTCTTTTGAGTCCGGGAGTTTAAAAGTTATGCAGTTCGTACAGGTACAGAGCTGCGCTAATTTCTTCCTGCGCCCCTAAATGCTTCCTCCTTAGGGTAGGTCCGCCTATAGGGGGTCTAGGAGGATGGTCTCTACCCAAAAAAGTGAAGATTTATAGCAGAAAAAAAAAAAAAATATATATATATATATATACACACATATATTAAAAATGTTTTGAATTTCGGTCGGCCCCGTAGGTAATAGGGCGCAGTGGCTGGCTGAAGCAAGAGGCAGAGGGGTAGGTAGCCCGTGGGCAAGGCGGGCAGGGGTTTGAGCTGGGGGGGGTCCCCTTTTGGGGTGCCAAGCCCCAGGGGCTTTCACGCGGGCGAGCTCGGCTTGCATTTCCGCGCCTCCCGCTGAGGCCGGCCGTGCAAAGCTGCACCTCTCTCC